CTATGACATAATATTCATTAACTTGGCTCCTTATAATGGTGGATCTATTAACTTGTATGTCTGCAAATGAAAGCAGGTTGGTAGAATGCAGCAGCATCTGTTCTCTAGTAAAATATTTAAAAATCAATAAATTAAAGTTACATTGGTTTCATAGGGAGATCATGAGAAATGAGAGAAATGTTAAATAGTTTAAAACAATGCATAATTTAAACATTAAATCAACTTTGGTGGTGACAAATGCTGTAATTTTTCATGAATTCAGAAGTCATTAATCCACTTCTTTCATCTTCCCACCTCCCCTTTTTAGGGTAGCAAGACTTTAAAAAGTGTTATTTGGGACATGATTTTATCAAATCATTAAAGTAAACAGACTTAGATGCTTATAAGAAACTTGACTATATTTTAATATTACAAAACACACAAATATATAGCTGTGTCAACAAGCTGCAGCAATGAGGAATATTCTACAGGATATTTTAATACAAACATGAAACCTTTGGGGAAAAAAATCCATATTTTCATATGAAGCTACATTATGAAAAAAATGCTTATTCACCCAATGGAGATACAAATATACTGTCTGCTTTATGATAAAAATCATTAAATCATTCTCATTTTTACTATTCAGAATCAGTATTTGAAAAATAATCATCTTTTTCTTCTTCATCTGAAGGTTCCATAGCATTAGTTAAAAGTTTTCCAATACCAGATGTGTCTAAGTCTGTAAGGAGATATTTAATAAAAAGGATTAATACATATCCAAGTAATTTTAGTGAAAATTGAAAAAGTGTAAGGAACTAACTCTTTGGAGCTAACAAACAACAATTTCAGGATTGTTTAAATAAATATTACCAAATAATAGATGCCTTATTTACAAAATAAATTACCTTGATTAAACAGGGTTTTTCTTGATGTTGGAGTTGAGAAATTAGTTTCAACCTATAAAAGAGTTCACATTTATAGGTAAGTGGTACCTACTTTGATGCCTCCTCAAGCATAGACAAAATTAAGTATGCTTAATACATAGTATAACAGTTAAATCACTTGATAGTTATTTGTCAAAAGCCTAATTTTATTTTGCATTCATCCAGGGCAAAAATCACAACTTGTTCGATGTTGTTTCTCATTGTTGGCAAACATTACTATAAGAAAACATTACAAACTAATGCTACATACAATGGCTAAAGGATAGTCTATATGCTTCGAAAGCTAATATTGAAGTATTTATTTCACTTAAATCCTTGTTAGTAAAAATATATTTTATCATAATCAAATAACTGACTATAGTAAAAAAAAAAAATAAGTCCATATTTGGAAAACATTATACTATCAAAGTATTAGTTCCCCCTACCTCAAAGTCTTGGCTTAAAATGGTGGTAACATGCAAATTTTTAAGTGAATTTTCATATACAAGGTTTTTCAAAGTACTAGCCACAATTGGCACTCTTTGTGCACACATTTGAGAAGCACTGGATTGGAGAATTTAGCAAGAATCAGTTTACTGGAAAAAAAGACAAATCTTACACTTAACCATTGAGCCACATCCCCAGCCCTATTTTGTATTTTATTTAGAGACAGGGTCTCATTGAGTTGCTTAGCAGCTCACTAAGTTGCTGAGGCTGGCTTTGAACTCATGATCCTCGTAAGCCACTGGAATCACAGGTGTGTGCCACAATGCCTGGATGAGTCAAATCTTTAGACTCCCATTCATTCCATGGCTTTCTCCCCCTAAGGATGTGGGACTGTAGAAAAGGAATCTTAAGGATCACTAAGGAGTCTATCTAGTTCATTTATGGAGTTCAAATTTCTTTGGAAGAACAAGAGTCCCCAGACTGATTTTAAAGCAAGGTCCCAGTGAAATACCTACTATTTCCTGTGTATAAGTGAATGCCAATATTTAGAGAGACTGAGAGAGGAATTATATTCCAGCCAGTATGAAGCATAAACATTTCAAGTTAAGTTAGGGAAGAAAAGGAGTACTTTCAGGGAATGAATGTCCTGTCCCCATAAATTATTCTGCAAGATTAGCTTTGAGGAAATTTGAGGTGAATTAGCTATTCTAAAATCTTGCTACTTATTTCTGGTTATCATTAAGTAGATGAATCTGAAAATCATCTGAAAATTATTTTAAAGCTGCATGGAAGCTGATGAAATGTCTTCTATAAAAATCATGATTTAATTAGTCTGATTATTCCCTGGTAACTGAATAGACACTCTTTTTACTCATTCTTACCTTGCTCAAATGTTTGGTCTACGAGTTTCCATCTGTAATCTTACAGTAGTTATTTAGTTATCATGGCCACATATTAGATTTTAAGTATCTGTAGGGCATGGACTATTATATAGCTATTATAATATGTCATATCTTACAGGGTTCTATAGATAAATGTTGGATAAAATAATAAAAATACTTACCCTTTTTTTCTTAACATTGCCCCAGACAATGCCACCATTACTTTTATGATTTTTTTGCATACGATAAACATACTTATCACAATCATTCCTGTTTAAATACAAAATAATTTCAAGTCAAAATTAACTATAATACTTTTAACTTCAGGCTGAAAAGTAATCGTTAAAAATCTAAAATCTATTCAATCTTAAAAAAAAGTAGATTTTCACCCGGTGTGTTGGCACACAACTGTTAATCCTAGAAGCTTGAGAAGCTGAGGCAAGGTGGATTTGCAAGTTCAAAGCCAGCTTGGCAACTTAGGGAGACCCTGTCTCAAAAAAAAAGAAAAGGTTGGGAATGTGGTTCAGAGCCCCTGGGTTCAGTCCCAATTACCAAAACAAAACAAAACAAAACAAAAATCAGTAGTTCACTACTGAGAATGTACACCTCTTCCAATTATGTTTGGTTTTCAATCAGCTCAGCTTTTATTTCTCTATATATTTCTTGTATTCCCCATAACAATGATGAAGGTTTTGTTTTTTCATTTCTTTTTACCTCATCTCTACTCCAGCTCATTCTCAGAAAATAGGACTGCCCTACAATTTACAGATGAAAACTGAAGCCAAACATAATGGTTGTTTTCAATTCCCTATCTCGCTTCGCATGCACAAGGCCATGGGTTCAATTCCTAGCACAACAACAACAAAAGTTAAGCCAACTTTTAGAGCTGGTTAAGTCAAGAGACAGTGAAGGTTTAGAAAACTCAATTTCTTAAAGTAAAAAAGTTTTTAGGAAAGAAAATCTATTGGGTATTTGCGCTATAAGAAAAAAAGAAGTCCTGTTTTATTATAAACGCAGTATAAACAGTAAATATCCTCCCCTTGAAGACCAAACAAAAACTCACAGACTCATATCAGTGTTATCCCACACAGCCTATAGATAATAGCTATTGATGTTTTAGTTTAAAAAATTTCCTTTCTCATATGAATTCATGTTGTATAAAATTGGAATCATGCTATATGTTGTTTTATTTAATTTTTAAAAACAATTATTGTCTGAACATTATTCCATGTCAACAATTTTTGAAGACATATATTTTTTTTTGGTACCAGGGATTGAACTCTGAGGTACTCAACCACTGAGCCGCACACACCCCCTTTTTTTGTATTTTATCTAGAGATAGGGTCTCACTGAGTTGCTTAGTGCCTTACTATTGCTGAGGCTGGCTTTGAACTCTCGAACCTCCTGTCTCAGCCTCCTGAGCCACTGGGATTACAGGCGTGCATGATCACGCCCAGCAAGATCAGCATTTTTAATTGCCAAATGGAATAGCCCTCTTTGTGACATCAAACTATTGGTCACTCCTATTCTTTCCTGTTAATTTCATTTATATTTATATTTCAAATAGTTCTTATATACACACAGTTCAAGATTCAAGTCACACTTTCATTCATCCCTAGGTCCCATCCCTAAAGATTTTTACCTATCTCGTCAAGAGATATTTAAATAAAAGCAATTATACACATATATATGTACATAACACATTATTCACTGCATCTTGCAATTTTCAATTAATATATCTTGGGCATTTGACCATAGTAGTAATAAAAAATTTCTTCATCAATTTGTATGATGACATAATATATCAGAATTCATTTTGAGATTCCCTACTGATAAACATTTGAATTCTGCCATTTTAACAATGCTACAATAAATTAGGTGTGCATTCACAATTCTAAAAACAGAATTCCTGGTTCAAAGGCCATGTATGGTTTATACATATTGACACATCCTGACAAATTGTTGCTGCAGATTCTACTTATTTATTTTTATTTTTTAGTACTAGGGATTGAATCAAGGGGAACTCTACCACCTAACTATCCTCCCAAGTCCTTTTTATTTTTTATTTTGAGACAAGATCTTGCTAAGTTGCTGGCTTGCCTCAAACTTGGGATCATCCTACCTCATCCTTCTGAGTGTCTGGGATTACAGGTGTGTGCCACAGCACCTGGAAGATTGTACTGATTTACATTTTTATTAACATATGCATGAGAAAAGCTTGTTTTCTTGCTGATTTGTAGGAAACATATTAGGGAAATTATTAGCCTTTGCCTGTGACAAATTGCAGTAAGTTCTTTTGTGAGAACTTATCTTTTCAATGTTTGCAGTAGTTAATACCAGGTGAAACGTATACAATTTTTTCATATGGCTGACTTTATTTATCATTTGTGGCTTCTGGATTTTTGCATCACACTTAGAAAGACCTTCTTCCATACCATCGTCCTACCTTAGCTTCCTGAATGGCAGGAATTACAGGTGTGCATCATGCTTGGCCCATCATTCTTTAAATAATAATTCTTCCCATTACTACATCTTTGTTTCTCAACTCATGAAATATTTAAATGTTCCTCAATGATGCAGAATATTAAAATAGCACATGCAAAATTATTCACCTGTTTATAGAGATCAGCATGCCAGGAGTGACATGCCGACACTGAGGAGTTTCTGCCAGTGGAAAGATAACTGATGATGGAGTTGTTGGATTTCTGTCCATATTTGGCAGAATATCATCAGCATCTTGACTGTCCTGGAAACTTGGTAACTAGAAAACAAATATTTTCAGCAGGCACACATAAAAATAAATATTTTTTTCGTTATCATAAGATGATTTTTAGTGAACTGGTGTTTTTCTCCTCATAATTTTCCAAATTAGATAATTAAAAAGAGTACTAGATTGATGACAGAATCACTAAAGACAAAAGAAATTGTTTGCATGTAAAATGGATTCAGTAACACCTATTTCTAAAGGCTGTGCTGACTAGAAGTATGCAAATGATTTCTGCAGTCAGATGGTAAATACTTTAGGATTTATGGCCTACACAGCTTTGTCCCACCTACTTAAAATGTGTCACTACTATGAAAGCAGATGCATATAATATGCAAACAAATCGGCACCTCTGTGAAACAGATGATAAACTGAATTTGACCAAAAGGCCCACAGCTTGCTGACTTTAGGTGTAGAAAAAACAAAATAAAAATAAAAATGAAAATGAACTGTGCTTGGCTCTTAGTAGGGACTCATGCAGTGTTAAAGATCTTTATACTGAAATTGTAGAAAAAGTAGACCTATGCCATGGAAAATGAGCTAATTCACTTTCCATTTCTATCTTTTTAATGTTGTTACTCTTGTATTTAGTCCTAAACATGTATTCAGAGCATGAAACGATGGTGGGATAACAAAGGGTACAACCTCTATTGGACCATGATATTGTGAAGGGAACACAGTAATGGCTTCAGATGGCACCCTTAAAATGTATCCTATAATTTGTATAAGCAAAAAGGAGGCAGAAATAATGTTGTAACTAGATTCTGCAAAGCACTGAGTACTAGTCTTGTTAAATTTTAGAAGATGATTTGAAAACAATATGAAGAAACTGGTAGCTGAAAAAATTACAGTTATTACATTATTCAATTCAATTGTCCATATCCACGTATTTGTACATTAATCTATATACACTTAACATTTAGGTTCTAAAATACTCTTAAACTAGCACTTCATATTTGCACTGTATTTCATTGCTTATGAAAAACATTTACTGTATATTCATTTCCAGGTTTTTGCTATACAGTTAAACCCAGAATGATTATTTGCAAAGATTTTAAGCTTCTGAATTTCTTAGGGTGAATTCTGAAGAACAGAATTTACCTTTATAGCTTTTGTAATATATTACCACAATATGCTTTCTGAATGGTATGAATCCATTGATGTATCTACTGATATATGACTATTAATATCAGACTTCCTTTTGTTAGCAGTGAACATTTTAACTAATTTTTTTAAAAAGTCTATAACACAGAAGGTATGTAGATATACACATCTATATACCTATACATATTTTATATTTATTTATTTACTTACTTATTTGCTTATTTATTTATTTATTGCTGCATTGCTGGGGACTGAACTGGGCGGCGGGGGTAGGGGGTGGATGGGGAGGTGGCGCTTTACCACTTAGCCTAGCCCCTTGTTTTTTAAAAAATTTGAGACCAGATCTCATTAAGTTTCCCAGGCTGGCCTCAAAACTTGGGATCTTCCTTCCTCAGCCTTCTGAGTTTGCTGGGATTATAGGTGTGTGCCACAGTACCTAGAAAAACAAAACAAAACAAAAATCTACTCAGCTGTTCATTACATTCATCTTTTGCATTTCTTTTTTAGTCTCTACTTCAGTAAATTTTGCTCTGATGTTTACTATTATTTTCCTATTAATTTGGGGTTTGGTTTGCTCTTATTTTTCTAGTTTCTTAAGTTATAGTGTTAGACTATTTGGTAGCTTTCTCATTTTCAATATAGGTGCTTATTGCTAATTTTCTCTGTAGTATGAATTATGCTGTATTCCATAGGTTTTGGCATGTTGTGTTTTTATTAGTTTGTTCCAAGAAATTGTTTAATTTACTTTTATATTTCCTCATTGGCCAATGGTAATTCAAGAGTATGTTTAGTTTTCATGTATAATTGCTAAGTTCCTCTTGTTGAATTCTTCAGCACCACTGGTGTAAACTCCACTGTTGGAGGGGTGTAGAGTAGTGCCAGCTCTAGCAATGCTGGCGTATTGAGTATGTATACTTAGCAGACGCAGTCTGGGGTATGTGCTCTCAGGCCTAGTGCTGGAAATGGTATGAAAGGTAGCCAATGGGGTAGCTAGTTCTATTGGGAAGTGAAAAGGCAGGGGTGCAGTTCCAGCGGGGAAGTGCCTTGATATCTTGGGTCCTGGGGGTGTCCTATACTGCTGAGCTTAGCCACCTACTGTAACATAAGGCATTGTGCAGGCCTGCATGGTGCAGTCAATTTCACTCTGGGTCTAATTGTGTTTGTGAGACTGAAGACCTCTGTCCTAGTACGGTAGAATATCTATAGGGCCTAGGAGATGGGGATATACAGAGGCTTATGGCCCCTAGGGAAGTCTGAATTCCAACTGTGACTGTTCTCAAGATGATGTCAAGCTACAATAGTCTAGACTCTTGGAATGCAGTTTTCCATCCACCTGTTGCTCTGGTCTTCTTTGTGGAGAAGGAGAAGGTGAGCACCCAGAACCTCTTTTTGGTCATCTTGAAATCTCCTTACGTTTTAAACATATATGTTTGACTATTTATTTGTTTCCTATTTGGTTTTACAATATTAAGTTTGAACCACTGAAGGACAGACTCTAGAAACTGGTGAAAATGGCATACAGATTATTTCCTATCCTACTCTTTGGTCATATCTATAAAAGCTATCCATCCTTGGGCTGAAATATTAGTAATGAACACTACCATAAATAAAAATGAAAGATGTAAAATATAGTCAATATAAGAAGCTGGGTGTGGTGGCACATACTTCTAATCCCAGTGATTTGGAGGGCAGAAGCAGGAGGATCAAAGTTCAAAGCCAGCCTCAGCAACTTAGCAAGACTCTGTTCCAAAATAAAAAATAAAAGGACTGGGGATTCAGTGGTAAAGTGCCCTTGTATTCAATCCCTGGTACCCGCCACCCTCCCCCCCAAAAAAAGGTCAGTATAGGTTAAGAAAACAATGATTTCATACATTTGAGACTCTTACCAATACTCTTTTTTGATTTTTTAAAGGTGTTGTACTGAAAAAATCATCATGGTCATCTTTTGGCAACTGTTCCAGAAAATCCCTCATTTGTTGTTTCCTTTTAAGAGTTCCCACTTTGGCAGTTATCTTAATATTCTGCTTTTTATCATTCTTTCTCTCACCTTAAGAGTCATCAAGACATTTTGATAAAGATTTAGTTATATATTAACTGCTTTATAGTTAACAACTTCTATTATTTTAAGTCTCTTATATAACAAATGATTCTTTCTACATTGACATCTATGCAGTATGATTAGCCTACATAAACTCATTAAACTAAGATTAGGCAAGGTGAGGTTTAAGAGATTGTTACTCTGTGAGAAAGGCTATGTCCCATACTCCTGCTGCTAAATGCCTGATTTAGTTATTTAGCTAAAATGTAAAACCTTAATGAATTATCTCTCTAAATCTTGTTATAGGATTTCTCTCGAATAAAACACCTTTTATTAGCAACCACGGACCTAAGCATGTAATCCTGGGACTATGAAAATTAAATTTATTCTCATCGTTTTCTTGTTTGTGAATCACTAGTGAGCCCTAATCAAGCAGCCTCAAAATCAAATTAGATAATCAGAATAATAATTTGGGTACTGAATCTCTGTATCTAATTTACGATTTCCTAGAAAAAATTCAAAGCACAAGGCTACAAAGCTACTACTGACAAAAGTAGGTATATAGGATAACACTTTTAAGAAAATACCTATAATAAGACTATGGATAAATATAAAATATAATTGGTGAGTGATTAGAAGTCTACACTGAGCACTAGGAAAAATTACAAAGGTTACCATTTTGGCCTTTGGGATTGGCTTGCTTTTTCTTAATCACATGTTTCTGGTGTCCTTTTCCTCGAGGATCTTCCAGGTATTTCTTCTGGCATTCCTTAGCAGTTCGAGAACCTACTGCCTTAGCCACATCTGACCAGAAACCAGGTTTGTACTTTGGTAGAGATGCAAAAGCACTGTGGAAGACCAAAACCAGTTAAACAAGAAGAAAGTCAAGGGCTAGGGATGTGGCTCAAGCGGCAGCGTGCTCGCCTGCCATTCGTGCGGCCCGGTTTGATCCTCAGCACCACATACAAAGATGTTGTGTCTGCCAAAAACTAAAAAAAAATAAATATTAAAATTCTCTAAAAAAAAAGAAAGTCAAATCAACAAAAACAATCTCCTGAAAGCACACCATTGAGTAAATGAGGTTTACTGGGCTGAAGGAATTTTATCAAAATCATTCTAGATAACTTTGGAAAAAAGATGTTATTCCCTCTGCTCAGTAGTGCTTAAAATATGAAGATGTAAGTTTACAAATCTAGTAGATACTATTTTGTTGAATTCTACTATACCTGAAATTTTTTTTCCATATTTCAACATTTTTTTTTTCAAAGTTCATCTAATCAATGATTTGGGAAAACTTTGGCATAAATGACTTCTATATACTGTTTTGTAAATCTTATTAGTGCCGACTATGCCAGAAGATAAACCTTTTTTTGTTGTTTTTGTTTTGGTGGTATTAGAGATTGAACCTGGGGTTGTTCTACTACCTAACTATATTCGCAGGCCCACCCCCCCTATAAAAATCTTATGCTTAGTTTCATTCCACTGTAATTTGAAGATCTTCGTATTTTAGAACAAAATGCCCTTTTAATTGAGGGAACCAAAATTTGAAAAAAAAAAAAAAAGTAGAAACATAAGGTAATTCCTTACTCATTCTAAAAGTTCCTTTGTAAATTTGTTTAGAACCTGGTATACATATTACCTCCCACAATAAAAAGACTTTATATATTGTACTTAGGCTGACTTTTCAGGCAGAAAATACTTATTTATCTCACCAATTAGTTTTAAAATGGTGTAGGATGAGTATCCCTTATCCAAAATGTTTGGGACAGGATCAGAAGTGCTTCAGATTTTCATTGTCATTGGACTTTGGAGTATTTGTATGTAATGAGGATGGAACCCAAGTCTGAACGTGAAATCTGTTTTATAAACCACATATATACACATAAACCAAAAGTAGTAATTATTGTTTTTTTAAATATATGTATATTTTTAGTTGTAATTGGACACAATACCTTCATTTTATTTATTTATTTTTATGTGGTGCTGAGGATCTAACCCAGAGCCTTGCACATGCTAGGTAAGTGCTCTACCACTGAGCCACAACCCCAGCGCCAGTTATTATTTTTTGGAAATGTTAGGTTTTGAGCCCAGGGCTTCCTATATGCTAGGCAAGCATTCCACCACTGAGCTATATCCCTTGCCTGAAGGTAATTTTGTACAACATTTTTAGTGTGCTTGTGTTTTGACTATGATCAATCATGTAAGATTAGGTATGGAATTTCCCACTTGTAGCATTTGTCAGTACTCAATAAGTTTTAGATTTTGGAACTTTCAGATTAGGGATGCTAGTGTTATATCAACTATATCATGTCTTTACTTCAAATACTGTTTCTTTGACAAAATTTGCAGCAGCCCTCTATCTCTGTGGTTCCACCTCTGTAGATTTGACTAAAATATTCAGGAAAAAAAAATCTGAATGTTTACAGACATGATCAGAATATTCAGGAAAAATAAAATACATCTCTACTGAACACATACACTTTTTTCTTCTCATTCTTTAATGATAACTGTTTATATAGAATTTACATTGTATTAGGTATTAGAAATAATCTAGAGATGATTTAAAATATATGGGAGGATTATAATAGGCAATATACAAATACTATTCAATTTATTTAAGAGACTTGAACATCCACAGATTTTGGTATCCCTGAGGGGTCGTGGAACCAATCCTTATGGGCATGAGATTTTAAAGAAATAATGATAAAGAATTTAAACCTAGCTTTGGAAGAATTACATTTCCAGAAATTGAAATGGGCAGGCAAAGTGGGTAGAGGATTTGGGAAGTCTGTTTTATCAATGGAAAATAAACCTCTCAACCTTAATTGTATTAAGTCAAACCTTATAAAGTGATATCCAGGCAACATCTAAATACAAGAATTCAGGGCCAGATAGATAGATTTGAAAATCACTATATTAAAAAGAGAGTTGGAATTTGAGAGGACATAAGATCACTAAGGGGGATACCATAGCACAAAAGCAGCCTAGAATAAGAATCTGAAGAGTAAGAAGGAAAATTACCTTCTCTGTCTGAAAATAAGCAGAGGCCATGCATGGAAGTGCATACCTATAATCCAAGCAACTTGGGAGGCTGAGGCAGGAGGACTGCAAATTTGAGTCCAGCCTCAGCTGGACCTAAATTTAGTGAGACCCTATCTCAAAAATAAAAAGGGTTGGTGATGTAGGTCAGTGGTAAAGCACCCCTGGGTTCAATCCCCAGGGATAATGAATAAGTAAATTAATGAATAAAATAAGTTAGAGGAGGACTATTTAGGAACTGGAAGAATACAATGCCATGGAAGTGCCTGAAGAAAAATATTTCAAGAAAGCAGATTTGACCAAATGTTATAAGGTTGGAAGGATTCAAAGGAAACAGAATGTTCCCGTTATCCTTCTCTCCTTTAATCAATCACTTTTTCCTTTTTTCCACTAGATCATTTCCATCAGCATACCATTATACCCTGGCTTTAGCCATCTTACAAATAAGCAGGTTAGCAACCAAATATCTTCCCTTATCTTCACACCTGCTTTTGGCCCCAAATTTTTCTATTCCCCATCATTGCCAAATTTCTTGGGTTGTCCATCTAGGTTGTCTTTATGTCTTTACCCTCCTATTCATTCTTGATTACTCAATTGTTACCTGGTTTCTGTATTACCACATTACCCAAACTGTGAAATTTATGTAGACAAATCCAATTCTTATCATACCTGAGTTACCAGCAACAGACACAACAGATCAATCTCACTCTGTTGAAAACTCACTATTGGCATCTTAAAGTAATAATGGTTACAATTCACTAAAGCAGCCCCTTACTGATGTATTTTATGTCTTTAACACTTTTGTAGCCACTACTTACCAATGAAGTTTCTGTGATTCCTTTTCATTCCATTCGTCATCCTGAATTAATGAAGGTAAACATTCTAAGGGATGCCTGTTAGTTTCATCGGATCCCATTCCCTCAATAATTGGAAGCTTATTCCTAACACCAGATTTCAGAAGAGTTTCTTTAGCAGAAGATCTAGCTTTCTTTTGTTTAATATGAAATTCATTTTCACCTTCCTCAGTTTCAGATTCTGAAATCACTGAGATAGTCCTTGTGGAATTTCTTGTGCTTTTTCTCAGCTGAACCATTGTTTCTTTGGTATTTCTTGTTTCTGGTTTCCTTCTAATTTCCTTTTTAATTTTACTCTCTTCACTTGACAAATTTAGTGATGACTGATGATTGTAAAAACACATAGCTTCTTGATTTTCAGTTTTCTTCAATTTTGATAGTGACCCGGCATTTTTCTTAAAGTCATAGGTGACCATTTGTTCATTTTTAGGGCTAGGCGTTTTTATTTTCTGGTTGACAGTGAGTAAATGACATTCATCACAATTTTTCTTGTTTTCACTATTATGATGCTCACTACACTCAAATGTATTTTCCAGAATCTCAGTGGATATACTCATGGGACTTACAGTTTTGTTTAAGTCTGACTTGTAAGTTTCTTCTTGATGCTTTGGCACTGCAGAATTTGTTATTGCTTTAATGGTTTCAAAGGACAGATTATACTTCATGCATCTTTGCTCTATCAATGTTTTAGTTTTCAGTGGTGTTACTAAAACATAAGCTTCCTTCTGCTTGACAGCCATGGATTTTCTTTCTTTATCTAAGAAAAACTGTTCTCTTGAGGTTAGAATATCAATGGGTACATCCGATTCTTCAGTTCTCTCTTTAATTTCACAAGACAAAAACAGAACCAAAAATCTCAAATTACGTCTAAATAAATTTTAGTATAGAAAAAAATTTTAACATAAAATATACAATATTTTTTACCAAGTTCCATTGTATATCCTACTGTCCTATTAATCTTCCTGAAGCACAGGTAAATTTAAATCATTCCTCTTTCAATTTAAGTATACCAGATTATTTATACAAACCTACCAACGACTTCTCAGTCTACTGGTACACATACGAGCTCCTCTGAGAGGCCTTCAATAAAGTTCCAGTCTTTCACTGTCCTCAAATCTGAACCATATTCTATAAGACCATTGGCTATTTCTCACATCTGCTTGGTTCTTGGCTTTAATGCTTTTCACTCTACATGTAAAGTTTCCTCACTCTTCTACAAACCAAATTAATACCTGTTTTGGTTTAATTCTCTAACCCAGTTAATCTACAAACTTTCTTTTGAATGAAAGCTATTCTTTTAAGCTTGCAGCATACACTTAAAGTCATGCTATGTTTGAAAATGAGTCCTGCATTATAACTGCATATTAATCTTTTCTTTTAATTAGACTGGAAAAAAAACATTAATGATAAGAACTTTATTTTCATGTTCAGACATTTTTGCTATTGTTGGTACCAATGTGTATGTATACTGTAGACACTAAACAAATATTTGTTACATTAACTCTCTGGAACTAAAATATTTAGAAGATATTAAGAAAACCACTAAGGTCACTAAACCTGACTAGACATGTAAAATATGAAACAATAGTTGTGCTAGTTAAGGATGGAATTAGGAGAACATAGAACTCTAATCTTTATAGCTCTACCTCAACCCTGAAGGTAGTCAGAGACAAACCTTCACTGAATCTCTGCCAACTCCATGAATTATCATGGGAAAGTAACCAAAATTAAATAACTGAAAATTCTTTACCATATCATGTCACTAAAGAAAATATGTTGAGTGCAGTGCTCTAATGTGAAACTTGAGAAATCAGAAGCTAAACTAAGTGAAATTCGAAATTTAAATTTCCCATTATAATTATAAATACATATAAATTTCAAATCATCATACCAATCATAAAACAACAGACTACACATTTTATATGCTACTGTTTACAAGATCAACAACAAAATGAAAGACTAATACATAATACTGAATCTGTGGGCTGGGGTTGTAGCTCAGTGGTAGAGCACTTGCCTCACACGTGTAAGACACTGGGTTTGATCCTTAGCACCACGTAAAAATAAATGAATAATTAAAGATGTGGTGTCCATCTACAACTAAAAAAATTTTAAAATAATAATAATATTGAATATGGGAAGAAAAGCCTCTAAAATATAATTTGTGAAGAAGTAGTACTAATCCAAAGTAACCCAAAAAATTTCTGTAAGATTTTTCACTGGCGTCATAGATCTTCAAATCATGAAGAAATTATTTCTCCTAATTCCTCATATAATTCAAGTGTTCAACTGAAAATTGGAAAATTTTGAAATTATAATTTTGAAAAAAAACATTTCTATTCAGAATATTTTAAATCATTTTATTAAATAATCTTGACAAAGATTCTGCCTATTTTGGATACTTTAACCTAATATGTATGAACTCGGCAATCTAAGCAGTATTGATTTCCTCACCACATTTATAAATGTTCTTCATTTTCATATACAGGAATAAAAAACATAAAAAGAAAAAAAACGCTATTAGGCTGATGGATTTAAATAAATGTTCAAATTTGAACTCGCTAATATTTAGAGAAAGGCTCTTTAAATTTTGATACATAAGATTTTAATTAAATCACTCTAAAAATGCATACAACACAAAACTAATTTATAGTATTCATTTAATGAAAGGATTCAGTCTTTGAACATTTCTGTAAGTATACTTAAGATTATGTATAATTTTGTAATCTAAATAAAATTATTTAGTACCAAGACTTGAGAAGGTAGGCCTGTGCATAACGTAGTTTTTAAAGTAACTGATTATTTTATTATAAAAATCATTTCATGTAAAAAAAAATTTAAAGCCATTAAAACAGTTTATTGTTTTCTTTTATTTTTTTTAAAATAACTTTATTTTACAGTTATTTGGTGCTGAGGATCGAACCCAGTGCCTCGGGCATGCTAGGCAAGCACTCTACTACTGCGCCACAACCCCAGCTCCCAGTTTATTGTTTTCAATTAAAAAATTTTGGGGCTGGGTTGTGGCTCAGTGGTGGAGCACCTGCCTAGCACATGCAAAGCCCTGGGTTTGATCCTTAGCATCACAAAACACTAAACAAACAAATAAAGGTACTAAAAAATTTTATAAGATCAGGTTTAACATATTAAAAACATTTCAACAGTAACTTCTTATCATTACAAAATCATTAAAAATATATTACCTTGCTTCTGATTTTTAATTATCCTTTTATTTATCTCTTCACAATTTTTATGTTTCTTTGAAGACAATTTTTTATATTCTTTATTTCCAATCAATTCCTTCAAAAAAAGGAGATAATTTGCTTTTATTTCAGCAACTACCATTTAAACAGGATTTTAAGCATTTTTTGGGGGGGAGGGGGGGTACCAGGGATTGAACTCAGAGGGTGTTTAACCACTGAGCCAATCCCCAAGCCTTTTTGTTTTTTATTTTGAGATAGGATCTCACTAAGTTGCTTAGAGCCTAGATAAGTTGCTAAGGCAGGCCTCAAACTTGAGATCCTCCTGCCTCAGCCTCCCAAGTTGCTGGGATTATATGCATGCACCTCCATACCCAGCTCTCAATTTCACTTTTCAACTAAAGACTGGGGAAAATAAATATCAAGACATTTACCTAGAGTTCCAAAGTTAATGAAAAGTTATGAGAATTATAGCAAAGTCACAATAAAAACAATATTAAAAGAGCTTTTCAAAATGGATTCAGGAGGCTTTCAAGTGAAGACTTGTACAAGAAGATTCCAACTATGACCTAGGATTGTGGATTTTGGTTGCCTTCTGACTTCAGGCAGCTAGAATGGATAATTACACTGTGCCCAGAGAGTTAAGATGCATAACCAAGTTAGTGGATTCTTATTCTACGGATATTTTTACTACATATACAGGTTTTTTTTTTTTTTTCTTTTTTCTCTTGGTTACATGGCCCTATTGCTAGTACCTGGTTCAACACTAAAAGCAGTTTCTTCACAAAAAAATTTGTTATTGTCTTTTAGTAGATTAACATCTTTTGTCCAATATAAGTTCTCACTTTTCCCAGCCTTCTATGGAACACTTTTTTAAAGATCCAAATAAAGTCCCTTTTACTTTTAGTTTCTGAGGTTGGACTGACACACAAAACTGATACTGGTACTTACAACACTTGTGTCTTTTAAACCTTTTCAAGTACAACATTACCCCTCTAAACAAGCAGTGTACAGTAAATAACTTACCTGCTTAGAAAAGTAAGATCCTCCTGTATTTTGACTAGCATTATTTACTTGGTCAATTGGTGGTTTATTTTGACAATTATTATAGCCATTGTTTATTTCTGTAGGTCCTGGCAATCCACTACACTTAATATTCTTCATTTCTGTGAGTACAATAATGGACAGTTCAATAAATGATTACAGCAAAGGTAAGCTGCTTTTCTACATTAAAGAGCCTATTTTGAAAAAAAAAAAAAACTTACTTAGAAAGGGCTATAAATTAATGTTCATACTTTTTTGATGGGGGTGGTGCATATAAGGCAGACTCTTATAGTTTGGCAAAAGGATGAAACAGAAGTCTGTCAGCTACCTCTATACCAAGAGAAAAGACCAGACGTACCCAAATTATCACAATCAAGGTCATAAGTGGTGCTGGCCTTTTGGACGACATATGTTTGGTTTTCTTCTGCATCATTTTTCCTTGATTTTCGTATGTCAGAGTCAAACCCTGCAGTTTTCTGTTCTTCTCTGGCCTCTTCCCTGTTCTTTTCATTAGCCCTAAAGACAATTATATTATTTTTTTCTCTAATATTATTTCTCAAAAACAAAACAACAACAACAAAAAAAAACTAAACCTAAAAATAAAGGAAAACCCTCAGATAAAGTTCCCCCTCCCCCAGCCAACTGTACTTTTTAATGTTACATTTTTATTTTTTCCAGATTTCCATCCCTATTCCACATATTCAACATATTGAATCAGAGGATTCATAAAAACATAACTGATTCCTACTGTATGCTCTTAATTCCTACTTAAGCTGATATTATAAGAAAACTATGGGGCAAGTCCTGTCAATTGACTGTTTTGTAAATAAAGTTCATTGAAACACAGACAGGTTAATTCATTTTCATACTACCTATGGTTACTTTTCTGCCAAGGTAGATCTTCTGGAACAGACACAACATATTCACAGAAATACTTACCATCTGGTCCCTTACAGAAAAAACTGCTATCCCTAAGTTATTTGTACTCTGATTAACTTTAAGCTCTGTATCCCCTATGGGCTCCTTAAGGACAAGAATTATTTACACTCTTTATTTTTTTCAATGCTAACTACAGTGCCTGTTAAGTAGCTGACAGTGAATAATTACTAAGAATTAATGAAAAGAAAAAAGGTATTAAACAGCATTATGTCCTTCAAAGGGTAGGTGAATGAAGAATATTTCTAGAAATATGCTGAAAGTTTTATTTCCCTTTTAGATTTATTCAACATGACAGAAATACTTACAAAGTATTATTTTTTCCTGAAACTCTTCTGAGATCAAAAAGAACTTCAAAACTGGTACCATCCCAAAAAACAAGTACATGTATGTGAAGTTCATTATATTTTACATCTAAAATGCATACATTTATTAAACGTAAATTATACTTTATTAATGTTCATTTTTTTAAAATTTAAAAGAATACTTTACCTTAATTGCTCTAGAAAATTATCAATGTATTCTTTCCAATTTTCTGGAAATCCAAACATAAATTTCCTTATGAGATAATATGGATATCCTATTTAAGGACAAATGACAACAATAATTATCTAAAAGCCTAGAATTTTAAAGAGATATCATTAATTCACTAAATCAGTCAAGAAACATGTACTTTTGTTTATTATGTGCAGTCATTTTTAGTGAGGATTCAGCAGTTAACAAGGTAAATAAAAATCTCTGACCTCGTAGAACTGGTCTTCTAGTATATACAGTTAAGCACACCAACAAGTAAAATGTCCTGTTTGCTAGATGTTCTGCAGGGAAGGGGGATAAGGATGTTCATGGGAGAACAGCAATTTTAAAAATGGATAGTCAGGGAATACCTCACTGAAATGCTAAGCAAAAGTCCTAAAGAATTAGAGGGAATGAACCATGTAGCAATGTTGAAAATGTAAGAAGGGCAGAGGAAAGTAAAAAGCCATGAGGCAAGAGGATACCTGATCTGACTGTGAAATAATAAAATCAGTGTAGTTGCTAGGGTTGTGGCTCAGTGGAATAGAGCCTAGCATGTATGAGGCCCTGGGTTCAATCCTCAGCACCACATAAAGATAAATAAAGTATTGTGTCCATCTACAACTAAAAGATAAATACATAAAAAAAAAAAAATCAGTGTAGTTCCAGTGATATGAGGCGTTAGTATTAGAAGGTTACACAAATGGATAACAGATGCAGTGCATAGGAGATTACAATTTGAAGTTTTGTGGTCATTTTGTGGACTTGGACATTTATTTAGGGTAAGATGGGCAGCTATGAAAAGATTTTGAGCAAAGAAGCTACAAGATCTGACTTACTTTAATAGAATTGTATTAGCTGCTATTCTGAGAAGAGTCTGTGTAAGTGAGTGGAAAAAGAACGAGACTAATTAAGAGAGACTAATTAAGAGACTATTATTATATTAATTGAGACAAAAGGCTGGGTGTGTTGGTACAAACCTATAATCCAGTGACTTAGGAGGCTAAGATACAAGGATTGCAAGTACAAGACCCGTCTCAGAACTTATCGAGGATCTAAACAATTTAGTGAGCACCCCTGGATTCAATCCCCAGTATTAAACAAACAAAAAACTGAAACAAAAGATGAGGTAGGTCTAGATTACAGTGGTGCAATAGAGATCAGTGTTTTAAAGGTGTTTTGGGAGATACTGCCAACAAGTTGTACTGATAAACTAGACGTGGGTATGAGAAAAACTAAAAGGTTTAAAAATGGTTTTTAAAACTAAAAGGTTTAAAAAGCTCTAAGGAGCTAGGCATGATGGCATATGTCTATAATTCCAGTGTCTCAGGAGGCTGAGATGGAAGGATTGCAGGTTCAAGTCATCTTCAGTAACTCAGATAGACCCCATCTCAAAATAAAAAAAATTAAAAAGTGCCAGGGATATAGCTCAGTACTATAGTACCCCAGGGTTGAATCCCTAGTACTCTGCCATCCCAAAATGTCTCCAAGGATTTAGGCTATTCAGTAGAAGCATGGAAAAGTGGGGAAGAGTACTGGCCAAGCAGATTTAAGGAAGATCAGATATTAAATCTGAGATAATTATAAACATCTCAATGGAGATGCCAAATAGATAGAAAATGAACTGGATACTTAGAGGAGGTCTTGGTTTGAAAAATAACATTGGGGGTTGGGGTTGTAGCTCAGTGGTAGAGCACCTGCATATATGTGTGATTCAATTCTCAGCACTGACTATAAATAAAATAAGGGCCCATTGACAACTAAAAAAAAAAATTATTATAACACTGGCATTTGGCACTTCAAACCGAAAACGATTCAGCACATAAATGAGTGTACAAAGAGCCCTAAGTTACCCCATTACTTGGAGGTAAAGAAGAGAGAAATATACAAATAAATTAAAAAAGAACAGGCAGTGAAGAAGCATCAAAATTGAGATATGGTATTCCAGAAGTCAAATTAAAAAAGTATCTCAAGGAAGTAGGTAGATTAAATCCAGTATAAGTGTGTACTGGATCTATCAATGTAGAGGCCACTGGTGACTTTCATATAGGATGTTTTGCTTAAGAAATGGGGGTTAAGGCATGATTAAAGAGAATTCTAGAAAAAAGGGAGAGAGAACTCAAGAAAAATCTGATGTAGTAAATCTTCTGAGAGTTATTTTTATGTAAACGAGAGCAGTGGCTGAAAGAGGTATGCTTAAAAGAGCAGTGTTTTGCTTTTGAAACAGGAGAAGAGAAAATTACTGGAGTGATGTCCTCAAGTAAAAGAAGAAAAATGGAGCTAATATTTAAATGGAAAGACTAATACATAGGAACATGGATAGTACATTCACAATGAAAGCAGGTTTGGATGTAAACAGATAAGTAAATGCAGTGGGGAAATTCTCTTCTGAATGTTCCTATTGTTCAGGTACTCCCCTCTCATTCTATCCTCTTTACCTGAGAATGTATGAGGGAGAAGGTGGTGGAGATTTAAAAAAACATGAAATAGTAATCAGGAAGGATGGGAAAGTAAATAGATTAGGGAAATACAGTAGGTTGCCAAGCATCACCAAGGGACCACTAAAGAACTAGTCTATAACTTGTTGCTGGTAATCAAAAATTTAAAGTAGAATATTTGGGTATGTTTTCTGACCTACATTAGACTGTATGCAAGGAATATGCAAATTAGATTATACCCGGAGAGGGTTATGTCAGCGAGGTTTAATAGAGACAGAAACCAAGGAGCTCAATTATATTCTTATAAAGCAGTTCCTTATAAATAGGAAATTTTGAATTTTTAAATCACAAAAACTTAAACTGTAACAATTATGAAATTCAAGAAAATGATTTTGTAAAATTCTTATGTAAATTTTACAAAATCTAATCAATTGCTTTAATTTATTCATAATTTTAAAAAAGCACATATACACACATATATATTACTGTTAGAAACACGGTTAATCGCTTCACTTACGAAAATAACATCAATTAACAATAATACTTATTTACCTGCTTCTTTCATGGAAATCTTGTCTATCAATCCTTTTAATATATAAATGTTGCCTGATACAGTCCTAAGTTCATTGTGCTTAATCCGATCTATAATTACATTACTGTGCCAATATATGTTAGTCATGTCTCTAAAAACAAAAAACAAAACAAAACAAAACAAAACTTAGTGAAGGCCAAAATATTCACATTTTATCAGGAGTCACAAAACACATATATACGTCTACATTCTAGCTACAGTAACAATACCAATATTGTTAATCAAATTACAAAATATTTGAGTGACAAACACTACAGTAGAACTTAACTGCTTCACTAATGTGGTCCTCAGAGTATGTGCTAAGAAACTTACTGTGGCTAAACCATGTCCCTGATATAAAATACATCATTAGGATGGAGGCAGAGCTTTCTCTATCTTGTGCTGGCGATATCTGCAACTTCAGCTTAACTGATACTAAGCTTCCAAAGAACATTTTCTGTGACCCTTTCCCACAGATTTTAATGTTTCAAATTTTGTGCAGAAGTGTAGTTTTTGTTTTTTTTTTTTTAAGATGTGGTCTTGCTATGTTGTCTAGGCTATCCTGAACTGGTGATCCTCCTCCTTGGTCTTCCAAGTAGCTAGAATTATTATAGAAACATAATTAAATTTTACAAAATCTAATCAATTGCTTTAATTTATTCATAGTAAATTATGAATTACAACAAAAACAGATCAGAACCATCTAATCTTCTGTGTATGTGTTTTCCCACAGTACATAGCCAGATGTTTTCATCTTCCATTTTGGAAAAGTACATTCTCACTCATTAGATAATAACATGCTATTTACAAACATAATAAGGAAGTTATTTTAACTCAGCCAATGGGATTAAACTCATATATTATACTTAAATACACTATTCTCTCCTTGCATTCTTTTTTGCTTTATTTAACATTTAAACAATACTCTAAAAGCACTCTTCTTTTGTATTACAAATATTAACTTACTTAATTCTTAAATCAATCTACAGGGCTGGGTGTGATGGCTCACACCTGTAATCCCAGAAACTTTGGAGGCTGAGGCAGGAGAATAGTATGTTTGAGGCTAGCCGGGGCAACACAGCAAGACCACATCTTAAAAATAAAAATTAAATGACAGTAAGAGCCTGTTTCAAAATAAAAAATGAAAAGGGCTGGGGATATATCTCAGTGGTAGAGTGCCCCTAGGGTACAGTCTCTGTACTGCAAAAAAAAGTATGTAATACTATATTCTTATTGTACAGATAAAGAAACTTGAGCCTGAAAGAGGGTAAATAAATAACCCAAGTCATTCTGGTGTAAGCATGAATAATAGGATTCCTAAAGACAATCTAAACTACATCTTGGATATTAAGAAAATGGGCACAAGGCAAGCAAAGTGAATAACACATACTTTATAAACTTCCATGTACAAACTTTAAATACTGAAATCCTATACTATTTTATTACAAAATTTGTTTTACCACCAAGAATAGGTTTTGAAAATAAAAACTGGTGCTGACAGAGTGGCACGTACCTAGATGAATCTCTTATTTTATTTTAGGGTGAACCAAAAAGAGACAATTACTTAATATGTAGCTATATGGCAAAGTTTTCAATAATTTAAATTTATTTTCTGGATCAGTAATTTATATCTGGTTTTTCCAATTGAGATTCGAGAATCTGGACTAAAATGCAAGTAGTAAATATTAAGTGATCATACATAATTAAGCAGATAATACCAGTCTACTTATTAGCCCCTCAGGAAAAAAAAAAAAAAGCACCTTATAAAATTGAGCTCTCACTATTTAAAGAACAATTGGAGAAAACAGGCAAAAACTAAGAAAGCTGGTAGCAATCAATATGGTGAGTATCTGCATAACCATTGTACATTTTTGCCTTTATAACCTCATGACAAAGTTTTTATAGCTTTATAGAAAGATACTATTTTTTTTACTTTTTTTTTTTTGTACTGGGGATTGAACTCAGGGATGCTTTGCCACTAAGTTATATTGGTTCTAAATTGCTGAAGTTGGCCTGAAACTTGCAATCCTCCTGCATCAACCTCCCAAATCACTGGGATTATAGGCATGTATCACTGTGCTTGGTTTCGCTAGTATTATTTTTTTTTTAAATATTTTTTAAGTTGCAAATGGGTCTTTTATTTATTTATTTATATGCGGTGCTGAGGATTGAACCCAGGGCCTCACACATGCCAGGCTAGTACTCTACCACTAGGTCACAACACCAGCCCTCTTGTATTACTTATAAGCTTTTAGACAAATGTCCTCTTAAATTTTATTACAAGAATATTTAAATGTTATACTTACATCAGTTTTCCTTCTACACATATAGCAGTATTATTATTGATGACTTTAATCATCCATTCTTGAAGCTGGATTACCTAATCAAGCATTAAGCAAAGAACATGTCTTATACTACTTCCAGGATAGACATTACAAATTAAATTATAAAGAAAAAACTTAGATCTAAGTAATCCTAGCAATTCCTTATACTCATCTATATAAGAATGTTAATGTATTAAAACACAAATTATCATAAGGGATCTAATAATTTAGAAGAAAAAAGAGTTACAGACCATCAGCTTTGTCCCTTAAACAATTAGACCATTTGTTTTATAAAGCTGATGTACAGGTGCATTTCAATTTCCTATAAACTCTGGTGACTGCTGGTAATATACATTTAGTAGCATTTTATTTCAAAGTGAAAGTATTTGAATAGCTCAGAAAACTAATTTTCTAGTATGAGTAAAATCCCATTCAAGCGGAAAAATTTCTATGAACATCTGTGCAAAAAAAAACTGTTTATATTTCATAGTAATTTAAGATTGAACTCTCTCTGATGAGAACAAAACCCAAAATTTATAAGATAACTAATTTGAATTGTCATTTACATTATATGATATTATACATTTACATATAAAGACAAATTCTCCAGTGGTGGTTTTATACTGCATCAGAAAATGTTAAAATGGGAAGATAGTCTTATAGGTAAGACTTGGGCAAAGTAAAATAAAAAACATTCCTTTTTTCCCCTACTCCCCACATTTGCTACTACCTGAGATTCATCAAAGCATTGGTCAGATGAAGATAATATTACAGTATAAACTAGTACTAACACTGTTCCAAGTACCTTAGCTGTATTAACACATGCTATCTTCACAACACTTGGAGGCAGGTACTATAACCTTCATTTTACAGATAAAGAAACTGTAAAATCTAGTTAAATAACTTGTTCATGTCAAACACATCTAATTAATGGCACAAAAGTCACAAACTGCGGAATTCTGCTGCCTCTAGAATTCATTCATTGTTTATTCAGTAAATATTTGTTGAGTTCTATACACTATTCTAGACAATGGGGATGCAGCAAAAACCAAAATGGCTGACCTCGTGTGGCGGGGGGAGGCAGGGGAGGAGGGGTTTGGTGGAAGCAGGAGGCAAGTAATGTGGTGGTATCCAAAAAGATAAAGATTAAGATGTCAGCAGACAATAATTACTAACAGAAATAAGTTTAAGATGTGAGATAATTGGAATGATTCTTCAGATATAATAGTTAGGGAAAGTCCTGGAGCATGGAATTGAACAAAGTTGACAGATGAGCTATATGAACAAAAAAAGCTGGGGGCACTGGGATTGTGGCTCAGCCATAGAGTGCTTGCCTAGCATATGCGAGGCCCTGGGTTTGATCCTTAGCACCACATAAAAACAAATAAAGAAAATAAGGCTGGGGATGTATCTCAGTGGTTAAGCACCCCTGGGGGTCAATTACTGGTACCCCAGAAAATAAATAAAATTCAGATGAAATTTGAATACATCTATTTTGAAATAAATAAGTAAACTTATACCCTTCTTTTTTTTATTTTTTAATTTTTAAAATTTTTTAGTTGACACAACACCTTTATTTCACTTGTTTATTTTTGTATGTGGATTGAACCCAGGGTCTCGCACATGCAAGGTGAGTGCTCTACCGCTGAGCCACAACCCCAGCCCCATATACCTTTCTTCTTAAACCTGTATTTCCATTCCAATTCCTTCAGAGAATTTATCCTAATGTAATAGAGTTTGATGTTCTAAAAAACTCTTTTATGAATCACTCTACATCGTAAATCTTCAAATCCTTAGATGCTGTAATTCCTTTTTTTTTTCAAGTATTCTCTTTGTACCCCAAAATCAGGCAAGAAAATTTCAGAGCAGGAATGAATTCAATGTTCATAAGTAAACTGTTGAAGGATGTGCAACTAGAATAGAGAAATATAAACATTAACACCAGGGTCTTATTACTTTCAGTTCACTGTTCTTTTTATCATGCCACACTATTGCTATAGTAAATAATAATAGAGCATTAGAGTTCAACCTCTTAAAGAAAGAGGAGTAACAGTTCTGGGGGTAGCTCAGTTTTAGTGTGCTTGCTTAGCATGCGCAAGGCCCTGGGTTCCATCCCTAGAATCACAAAAACAAACAAAAAAAACACAGCTAAGAACAAGTGATACAAACAGAAATAAATATCTGCCTTAAAAAATTTCCTACCTGACTTTTTTTAACTTCATTTCTAATAGTTTGAATTACACTTTGAGGAGAAAGCTTTGAAATATTTCTTTTTGAATTCCGAGGTAGTGTTAAATGTAATCTTGGACTTGCAAGTACAATTTTACATGTATCATTCATGGAACCTGGAAGGCTAGTCATTATAGACACTGACTTTTCATTTTGTTCCTTAATTTCTTCTTGTGAAGTCCCATCTTTTATCACTTCACTATCAGAAACCATTAATTGATTACCATTTTTAATAGGAACACAATTAGTATTAAGAATCTCAGCATTAGTATCTTGGAGTTTTTCATAAGCAGAATCATTGCCTTCTAAAACAAACGTGTCCTTTTTGGAATTGGTGGTTCCAGTTGTATTCTCTTTTGAGTGCAGAATTTGTTTAGTTAGTTGAGCTCTAATTAATGCCTTATTTGATACTTCTGCAACTGAAACATTTTCTTGGTTTAGAATTGGAAGTTCTGCAAAAAAACACAAAATAAAATTTACAGAAGAATCACATGAAATTAAAAGAAATAACAATTTAAAACTCTTATATTAAAAAAAAGACTTCACATTAGGAATGTACCTCCCTTCTACCCAGTATTTCTCTGAGTACCTCTGGGTTTTATAATCCAACCATTTGTCCACAGTCAATATTTATTGCCTACAATAGGAAAATAATTATCTACAACATTTAACAATACATTGAACTAACAAACTAAAAAAGAGACAAAATAAGACAACACTTTACCGTAAGTTAAATTGTGCAGTTGTGCTTTCTTTTCATTCTGGTCTTGAATCTTTTGTTTGATGGGAAGAATATTTGATGATTCTAGAGGAACTTCTTGAACTGAGGCTGAGTTTTTTTAAAAAAACAAGTTGAATTGTATTAGTTATGCTTAAGAAAAAAATGCCTATTTAAAATCTTGAAATAAAGACATTTAGGTTCAATAATGATCAGACTAGTATGGTGCACTTTTGCAAAACATGACCGTCATATAAATTTTCCCTTTATTATTTTTTCATGCCTTTACTCCATTATATATGTATAAATATATATATAAATTTCTCTAAGGTCTAATCTGCCCAATATAGACAAAACTATACTTACTATTTCTTTCAGTATCTTGGGCCCTGGCCCTACCTCATGCAAGGGGTAACAAGGCTCCTGGTTCAGGCACCTAGGACAGGCTTGACCTCCATATAGCAACACACACCAACCATCTGCACTGGGTACCAAGGCCCCATGTGGCTGGGCATAAGCCCTGCTTGAGAACCTGACTAAAGGACAGATGGACAGTCTCACACAGTGGCCTACAGGCTGATTCACACTTCCAGCCAAGAACTCTGGGAATGAAGGAGAAGGGGACCAAATAATATACTACTAGACTTAGAAACCTAAAATATGGAATAAAATTCTTGTGCTGCCACAAACTGGGTATGCTAAGATTACGCATGAAATACCACCCAGGCTTGAAATTTCTGCTTCTGTTTTCTATAAATTTCTAAAACATGAAGAACAGTTGAAGAGCGGTTACTTATTCTTTAAAAATTTTATGTTGAGAATCTAATAGCAGACTTAATCATAATTTATATGGCTTTGAAATCTCTTTTGTAGGCCTTCAAAGGCACAGAAGTCTATTGACATCTATGATAAATAAGGACTTCTGGTATTGCTTGCACTTTATACACTTTATTCTGATTTACATACTAGATCTTTTTTTTTTTTGGATACCAGGGATTGAACTCAGGGGCACTCGACCACTGAGCCACATCCTAGCCCTATTTTGTATTTTATTTAGAGAACAGGGTCTCACTGAGTTACTTAGTGCCTTGCTTTTACTGAGGCTGGCTTTGAATGTGTGATCCTCCTGCCTCAGTCTCCCAAGCCACTGGGATTGGAGTTGTGCGCCACCGCACAACTAGGTCTTGAATGTTTCTTGTGTATAGAAACATTTAGAAGTTAGAATAAAGGGTAGAAGGCCACTGAGAAAGGTGTATAGAAATGAGATTCTTTCACTCATGAACGGAATGATTATAGATTTAAATTTGTGCTAGAGAAAGAAAAACTGGGTTTATTTAATGTCAAATATTATACTTGAAAAAAAAATAAGAAATGACTATGCTTTAATATATATACCACTTTGGACTTATAAATCTTAATATAAAGATTTGATTATAATGATGTCATAAAAAGAAGCTTAAATTTCATGGCTAATTGTTATACTCTTGTACTCCTCCTCAACTCTTTTGTCCTTCTGTCACTGCATCTTACTTGGCAAAATTATAACTCAGATAATATTTAACTCCCTGCCTATTCCACACCAGCATCTATGCAATTAAACAGGGCTAGAGGAAAACTTACAACCATATTTATTGGTCCCCCTTTAAATTCATGCCCACAAATCTCAAGTAGCTCTTTAATGTCACCCAGAAACTCAAATTTATGCCTAGATAATTAACTATTCTCCTCTCCTATACTATTCAAACCTCCACCTCCTCAAATTTCAATACTGTATAATATTTAAAGCTGTGAGATTAGATGGGATCATCAAGGAGTTAAGTCTAGAAAGAGAAAATGTTCAAGGTCTGAGCCTTGAACATTCCACCAAAACTGCCCTCATTCAAGTCATCAGTGACCTCTAAATCACTAAATCCAAGTGATCCTCACTCAGTTGATGATCTTATTTCATATTTCAGACTATGTGTAAAATTTTACAATGACCCACCAGTATCTGTATTTACATACTGGCTTCGTTTTTTTTTTTTTTATATTTTTAATTTTTTATTGTGGGTTGTTCAAAACATTACAAATTTCTTGACATATCATATTCCACACTTTGATTCAAGTGGGTTATGAACTCCCACCTTCACCCCATACACAGATTGCAGAATCACATCAGTTACACATCCACTGATTTACATATTGCCATACTAGTGTCTGTTGTGCTGGCTTCGTTTTTGTTAACAATTTTGTGTCCTAGCTAAGGTCAAATCTCTACTTATGCATTAGATTCTATTTCCTTTCAACTATTCAAGGACATCATACAAGCAATCCATTCATCTCTTCCCACTGAATTATTCCCAAAAGCATATAAAAATATTGTTACTTCACCAAATATCAAAAACTACAATATACTCTTTAACAATTCTCATTACCTCTTTGTTCCCTCAGAAACACTTTATCTATGGTCACCATGCCAATTTCTCTACTTACATTCTCTTAAACCCTTTCGTAACATTTTTATTCCTACCATTCCACCAAAACTGCCCTCATGCAAGTCATCAGTGATCTCTAAATCACTAAATCCAAGGATCAAATCTTAGCCTACTTGACCTACTAGCAGAATCAGACATCGTTGATGTCTCCTTCCATTTTTTTAAAAAATTTTCTTTGTAGTTGTAGATGGATAGCATGCTTTTAATTTATTTGCTTATTTTTGTGTGTCATGCTGAGGATCAAACCCAGTGCCTCACACGTGCTAGGCAAGTGCTCTGCCACTGAGCCACAGCCCCAGGCCTGATTCCTTCCATTTTTAAGCATTTTGTTCTTTCAGCTTCTTTGGCTTCATTCTCCTGGTTCTCCTTCTTCCTAATTACCTTTCTCAGTGGCCTTCTACCCTTTATTCTATCTTCTAAATGTTAGAGTACTACAGGCTCAGACCTTGAACATTTTCTCTTTCTATACTTAACTCCTTGATGATCCCATCTAATCTCACAGCTTTAAATATTATTTGGTGCTAATAATTCCCAAATGTCCTTCTCTGCCCTTTATAACTTCCTTAAATTCCAACTAAAAATTCCCAACAGTCTAACTGACTTATTTGCTAATTTCTAATAGTCATACCAAAATTAACCTGATGAAAAATTAACAAGGTCCTCCCACCATTCTTCCTTCAATCTATACCAGTTCAGTTAAATTATCCTTCCAGTTGGTCAGGCTAAAACCCCAAACCAACCAATCAACTAACTAACCTGGAATTATTCTTTATATTGCTTTTTCTCTTTTATATTCCACACCCAGCCTATGAATCAAATCTATTGATTCCACCTTCAAAATATAACCAGACTTTAACCACTTTTTAATCCAATCACACCTACCTCCTGGACCAAGTTAGTATTGTCACATGCATAATTGTAGTGTCTCTATTTCAAATCAACAGCCAGAGTGATATTTCAAAAACGTAATTAGATCTTGCCATTCCTCTGCTCAAAGCCTTCCAATGGCTTCTTATTTTGCTTACAGTAAAAAACAAGCCTCTATTTTTTTTTTTTTTAACCAATAAGGTTCTATATTATCTGACCCTCTCTTATCCTCTCCTCTTTGGGCAGTCTATTACTCCATGGCACAATAACTTCATAGTTAATCCGAGTTTTCCAGGCATGTTCAGCTGTTACTTAGGTGTCTGGATCATGCTCCATTTCCCAAAATACCTGTATCTATCACTTCCTTCAAATTTTTGGGCTCAACTGCCACCTCACTGATGTTTACCCTCACCATTCCACTGAAAATTACAACACCCTCCAAGTCTCCCCATCATCCTTATTCTGCCTTTCCTTTCTTTGCTTCTTCCTGCTTTTCCTCTTCAACTATACCATAAAAAATACTCTTTTAATTTACCTGAATGTGACCTATGCTCACAGAGGCAGAGATTTTGAAGCACTCTGTTCATAGCTGTATCCCAAGCACCTAAGATATCTGACACATTAAAACACTTATGACTTTATAGCTGTTTAGCCAACACATGATAAAACTAACCTCTTAGTGAATTGTTATCTGATAAGAACGAGTTATTTTCCTTTTCTTCATAGAAGCAGGTATGCTGCAATAGTCTTTTTTCATTTTTATTAGGAGTAAAGATTTTATGATTTTCACTTTTCGGTGGTTCCAACAAACTATCGTTTCTTGATGCTTGTTCTTGCTTATCACGCAGTACTTTTTCTTTCATTCTTTGAAATATTTTTCCTGGTGATTCATAATTTGCTTTACTTTTTAATGCATCCATGTTGGACTTGATAGCACTGATATCAAGACAACTGTTAGATGTAGTAACCTCTGTTAGCATGGTAGATTGAAATATATTTTTATTCTTAGGAGTTGTCATTTCTAAAGACTGATTCTTTTTGTGGTCATTAGATTTTAAAGAGGAATTCTGATATTTGACCAAATCTTTTATAGGAGTAAGTGTGCCTGAAGGAATGTTGTCAAAAAAGATTGCATCCATGGACATATTTCTTTTTTGAGAAGAAGTCTCTGAAGACAAATGAATTCCTGGATGTTTTAAAGGTGTTGTAATCATCTTGATAAGGACAGTAGCAACAAAATCCCCCTAACAGAAAATCCAATCAAGCACAATTTTCAGGATAGTGTGTCCAGAGAAACCTGCAGTTCGATGGGAAACCAATCATCATCATGGGTTAGTGCAGAAAGTTTTATTTATTTGCTTTCCATAACAATATCTCAATTAAAAGGTTCAACTACTCATAAAAACACTAGATATTCTATACATCCCACAAATCTGACTAGGATTTTATTTATTTAAAGTCTCATTTTTATTGTTTTTCAATAGATGAGCAACTTGGTCTTTAATTTTACTTCTTTACAAAAAACAATATTCACCAAATAATATATCCAATAGCTCTACTGAGTTTTGAATATCTGTTTTGAAATTTATTTGAATATTAAGTTTTAGATGTTTCAATCTAATATCTGCATCAAAAAGCAATGACATAGGCAGTAAGTATTAATTATATTGTTATAAAAGATTAAGTTTTGGGGCTGGGGTTGGGACTCAAAGGTAGAATGCTCGCCTAGCATGTGTGAGGATCTGGGTTCGATCCTCAGTACCACATAAAAATATATAAATAAAATAAAGTATTGTGTCCAACTATAACTCAAAACAAAACATATTTTTAAAAAAAAGATTAAGTTTCACAAATGTGGCATTTCCCTTTATGCACTTAAATTTTAAGGCAGCATCTAAAATGTCCAAAAACAAGGGCTGAAAATTCTATTCAGTTATTTAAATAATCTCCAATGCTGACTTTTATGCTCCAGAACACTTAGATTATGAGGTCCTAATTGAAAACCTTCAAATAGAAAGTAAATTATATTTATTCTAAATTTTTTTGAAAAAAGAATGCTATTTAGAATTTTTGGAGAAAATCATATACTTGAACATACCAGTTCTTAGACTTGTTTTACACTTGATCTTAGCCAAAAGGCCAAAAAGCAGTTTCTTTAAAAAAAAACAAAACAAAAAAAACTTTATTTCATTTACTTATTCATTTTTATGTGGTGCTGGGGATTGAACCCAGTGCCTCATATGTGTGAGGCAAATGCTCTACCACTGAGCTACTACCCCACCACCCCTTAGACTTTTTTAACTTGATTCTTACATATGAATTTTATTTCCCATACCTAGAAATTAAGATTCTAGGTGAGGAACCACAAATTTCGTAAAGTAATTCTTGGGAAAAAAACACAAAACATTTCAATCCAAGAGGCCTGGAACTGACTAATCAAGATCAAAAAAGACATCAAGCATATTATCTACATAACTTCTATGTTAAATAAATAAGCAACCTAAAAATTCATATAAAATATTTTATACAATAATTTATAACTGAAAATGGAAACAAAAGAGTATTACTCAATATATAATGAGGAGGGGGTCTTGGAAGTTTGATCCTGTGACAGGAAAACCATTGTAATTCTTTCATAAAATACATGTTAATGCATTTATTTGTATGTCTCTCATTGTGCTAAGTGTCAGAAGCACTGGGAGTTATGATAATCACTATTGTTCATTTTAAAGGGTATCAATAATGCTATACTATTTCTCATAACCAAAAATGTTCATGGACAAATACAGGGGAAAATTATTAGAGTATGTTCAAGATTTCCCAGTCTCAGTTCCTCAAACCCTTATCAAACGCTTAACAGAAATTGCAAACACACTAGTAGCACTGAAAACAGGCCAATTCTGTACTGACATAAAGAACTGCTTTAATTTAAAGACAGATATTTATGGGTACGTTGAAAGGCTCCAATAATCAGTAGCACAGAGCTTCTTCCAACAACCTACCCTTTCTCCAACTAATTCAAACAAGTAGCAGGATGAAGGTGAACAATCAAGACTCTGAAAAAATCCTCAAATTCTATTCTCTCCCCAAAAGACACAAGAAGTTCCTCTAGAGTTATTCTTTCCCACTATGTGATAAACAGAAACTCTAAAGAAGCTAAACAGTTAGTGGAAGAGAAGACGCAATGAAAAAAAAATTACCTAGGATTTTCTGACCATAGAGTCTCTGCAGAATACCTATAGAAGAAAAACAAACCTGGATAGTCACCCAAGAAAGATCTGAAGCCCCATTCCCTAGTTAAAAGGGCAGAACAAAGAAAACAGATCATTATCAATGTTCAACCTTTGATGAAACAGAGGTTATAAAATGGGAAAATAGGGTCAGTGGTTGAGTGCCCCGGAGTTCAATCCCTGGTACCCCCCCACATCAAAAGTACATTGAGATACCCACTCACTCTAGTTAGAATGGCTATTATCTATAAAATACAAAAGAAAACAACTGTTGACAAGGATGTGGAGAAAAGGGAACCCTTCTACACGTTGTTGTAATGTAAATTAGTACAGCCATTGTTGAGAACAGTATGGAATTTCCTCAAAAAATTAAAATGGAGTTATCATATGATCCAGTAATCCCTATGTCAGAGTAATCTGTACACTCATGTTCACTGAAGACTATTCACAATAGCCAAGAGGGAAACAACCCAAATGTCCAATAACCGATGAATAAAGAAAATGTGGTATATCTATACAATAGAATACTACTCAGCTATAAAAGAATGATATATCTTGTCATCTGAGACAACATGGATGAAGCTGGAGGAAATCATGTTAAGTGAAACAAGCCCCACACAGAAAGACAAACACTGCATGATCTCACTCATGTAGAATTTGTAAAAAGCTGACATTATAAAAGTAGAGCTGGGCGCAGTGGCTCCTACCTGTAATCCCAGCAGCTTTGGAGGCTAAGCCAGGAGGATCCCGAGTTCAAAGCCAGCCTCAGCAATGGCGAGGTGTTAAGCAACTCAGTGAGACCCTGTCTCTAAGTAAAATATAAAATAGGGCTGGGAATGTGGGTCAGTGGTTGAGTGCCCCAAATACCCTGCAAAAAAAAAAAAAAAAAAAAGAGAGAGAGAGAGGATAGAAAGGTAGCTACCAGAGAATGGGGAGAGGGTTGGAAAAGAGGAGATGAAAAAGGAATCGCGAAGAGGGAATATGAGGAGATTGGGAAGAAATGGTGGTCAAGTGGCACAAGATAGGAGGAATACGTTCTGAAGTTTTAGTGCTAAGGTATTATATTTTTCAAAATAGCTAGAAGAAAGTTCCTATTCTCACCACAAAGAAATGATAAAACTGATGAGGTGACAGATATGCTAACTATCCTGATACATAATGTATACATGTATCGAAATATCAAATTATAGCCCATAAGGGCTGAGGTTGTGACTCAGTGGTAGAGCGCTTGCCTAGCACGCATGAGGCACTGGATTTGATTCTCAGCACCACATAAAAATAAAGGGCTGGGATTATAGCTCAGTGGTAGAGCGTGTGCCTAGCATGTGCGAGGTACTGGGTTCAATTCTCAGAACTGCATATAAATAAATTAAATAAAGGCCCATCAACAACTAAAAAAATTTTAAAAAATAAAGTTACTGTGTCCACTTAAAGCTAAAAAATAAATATTTTAAAATATTGTAGCCCATAAATATACACAAGAAAAAAAATCACAGATATGAAAATAAAAGTAGAGTAGCATAAGGGAGTATAAATATGGTGGAAAATAATAACAACTATGAACAATAGAAATGAAACAATAAGATGAAATTATAGTTTTAAAGTAAGTTATAAAGAAACTGAAGATGGACAGTGGTGATCCAATAGCACATAAATGGAATCCCTAAAGAAAAGCAAAACAATGGAACTGAACAAACAGTGCAAGTAAATATTCCTGAAATAAAAAGCAATTTGACGCTTTTTAGCAGTAAAAATGACAAAAAAAGGTCACTGCCTAGACATATATGTGAAGTTAATATAAGTAAAAATAATATCTCTTCAAAAATAATTGTATTCTTCAAGTTGAAGAAAGAATAGAACATACTGAAGGTCAAGCAGACTGGATCTAATAGATGGAAGTTGTTAGGGGACAGACAGATGAGAATGGTGTGACTACAAGGTTAATTGACATTCTATAAAACGGGCCAATCCCCCACACTCTTTGCTAAAAAGCAATTTACATGCAGCCCTGCCTGGCCTAAGTAGAGAGGTTTTGTCACATTCTTCAGCAAACTACCTGTTATTTGCAAGGAAATGCAAACAAGAAATAACCTTGATAACAGGAACCCACGTTTCAACCCAAGTTGAAAGTAGAGATTTTTGTGACTCTTTTCACACACCAGATTCCGTAAGGATAATTCCTTCTGACCATAAAACCTGTAATTATTAAGAATCATTAAAATTATTAAGAATCCAATTAGAACTGCTCAGCATGGGTCAAGGATACATGAAATAGCAATGAGGCCAACCTCAGCAAATTTGCAAGGCCCTAAGCAACTTAGTGAGACCCTGTCTTAAAATTGGAAAAAAAAAAAAAATTGAAAAAAGGGCTGGGGATGTGGCTCAGTAGTAAAATTCCCCTGGGTAAAGTCCCCTCTACCCTCACTGCCAACACATACACACAAGGAAACCAAAAAACTGGCAATAGGTACATGAAAGTCATGATGTCACTGTGCTGTCAGTCAAAAGTCAAGAGGTAGATGTGGGGGAACTATGGAAACTTCTCTAGGATCCACAATAAAACTTGAGTGCAGGAGAGGTATATTGTCTCTCTCCTCTCTGAAAGGACCCACTTTCTCTCTGTAGAGTGTCCCCTTTCCCTTTTCCTATCCCTTCAATAAAACTTAAGCCTGTTACTCTGAGGGACATCTCTGAAATCTTCTCATATTAGAGACGGTGAATTCTAAAACGGTATACTTCTGTTTTCTTTAATTGCTTATGGCTGTTTAGAAAATCTACTTTAAAAACTGACAAATGCTGATAAACTAGGGGAAAAAATGCCCTTTATTCATCACAAAGACTCAGCTGAAAAAACATTTATGAAAAGGTGGGCTTTAAACATAGTATATGTAAAGAGTTAAGGCTAAACAACTGTTATTGTGTATGATACTGAATGCTACTCTTCCCCAAAATAAATTCTTCTGGGGACTTACTGCAGTGGTAGCTGTAGTAATAATTACCATAATGGAATGGGTTGAAAATCTTGAGTACGCTAACAAAAACTGGTAGGTGGAGTTAAGAGAAACAAAATTCTAAGTTAATGGGCAAATAAATGTGTGTGGATGTGGCAGGGGACTTGGCATATAAGACAAAGGGCTAGTATACATGACACTCAATGAGAACAATGAACCAATTTTAAAGGATTATCAATATGGAAAATGGCCAAAGTACACGAAAGGCAATTGACAGAAGAAATACAAAAGGCCAATAAATGATTCATCTAACACTCTATTTTACTAATAAATGAAGAGATGCAAATTAAAACGTTTTACTTATCAGATTGGTAGAGACTAATTTCAAAATATATGTCTATACCACTGACACCAAAATTCTTCTAAATTATTTTCTCTACAGAACCATAAGATTGCAAATTCATATTAGTGTTAATATTAATATACATTAATAATAGCCAACATCTACTGAATAGTATTAACATCATGCCAGCCACTATATAATCTTACTGCAACTCTTTTTTTTAATTTAAAATTTTTTTTTTTAATTTGTTCTAATTAGTCTTACTACAACTAAGTACTGTTATAGGGGCTGGGGCTCAGTGGCAGAGCACTTGCTTAGCATACATGAGGCTCTGGGTTCGATCCTCAGCACATAAAAATAAAACAAATAAAATAAAGGCATTCTGTCCATCTACAACTACAAAAAAAAAAAAAAAAAGAGAGAGAGAGAGACACAGAGATAAGTACTGTTATTGTGACTAGTTGGTTAAGTGATGTGCCCCAGGTCACACTTAACAGTGAGAAAGAGCAGGAACCAAGTCTACTGGACTTCAAAGCCAAAGTTCTCCAGCAACAAGCAACAAAAGCTACCACCACACAATGACCTTCACTGCAGTACCAGGGAAATTAAAAAACAACCTAGACTAGACATCCACCAATAAGGGTTAAAATAAATTTCAAAATAAAATATAAGAAATTTAATTCTATGTACCCAACAACAACAACAAAACATACATCTATCTATCTATCTCTCTCTATATATATATTAACACGAAAGCTTCCAAGAAATACGAAATTAAAAAAAGGAAGCAGGTCAGGATGTATGGTTTCACTTCTGTAAAAAAATAAACACATATGGCGGGGTGGCGCACTCCGGTAATCTCAAGGCCAACTTCAGCAAATTTGCGAGACCCTAAGCAACTTAGTGAGACCCTGTCTTAAAACTGAAAAAAAAAAAAAAAGAAAAAAGGGGCTGGAGATGTGGCTCAATGGTAAAATTCCCCTGGCTAAAGTCCTCTCTACCGTCCTCGCCAACACACAAACCAAAAAACTGGAGGGGTCCATTATCTATATATCCCTGTGAGTCCTGGGCCCCGCGGTGAAGAGTGGGGTACCGCGGCAAACAATTTTCCTACCTGATAATTATTCTAACCAAAGATTCTCTCCCTAGAATTGACTCTTGAGCAAACGCGTGGTGCGCTCGCCATCCAAATCAACGCGCGAGGATTCTACCATCGACAACCGCATGGACAGGCAACACCGAGTGAGTGCGCAGTCGTGAAACCACTGCCACCACCAGAAGCGTATAAAAGCCCGCGTGAGTCCAGAACGCGGAAGGGCCGGCAGGATAGGGAGGGGGCGCCCGCGCGGCTGGAGAGGAGGGCAGAGGTGCTCCTACCTTGGGTGAACGGCCCGGCGGGCCAGAGTGCGGCAGCCCCAGCTCCGCTCCTCGCCGAGGGCACCCGGAGCCCAGAGCTCGCGCCTCAGGAGCACCGCGGACCCGCGGGCAGCAGCGCGGCGCAGAGCGACGCTCACCTGTCTCTCGAGCTTCCTTCTAACCCAAAACAGTCTGGGATTTCAAATCTGAAAGGCCCGCCCTCAAACTAGCACGGGATTGGCACATTCAAGAATTGCGTCACGGTGCGTCTCACGGGGACTTAACCGGATCCCGCGAGGACAACGCTGTGTTTATAAAATTTGTGTAACTCCAGGCTGCCGCGGTATGGGGCTGGCGCGTCCTCTGCGCAAAGTTAGGTTCCTCTTTATAGGAAGCGCGCTCATCTCCTATTCAGCTGCACCCTACCTCGTGGGAGAGGCAGACTACAGACCCCGCCGGCGCGCTCCACGAAGGCCTGACTAAGTTTGGCCCTTCCCGGCCACCGCCTACCGGCTCCTGTACCAGCCCCACTCGCGAGGTGGCATTTGTTATCCTTTCCTTCCATCTCTGAGGAGCACGGGTTGCTGAGTGCATTTGGGATAACTTAATTTTTCTCAGTGCTCCACATATTTGAGGCCGAGAAAGAACGTTTTGTTCTTGAGGCATGGTGGACCGAATTCAAAATCGCATGCATAATTTTTTAGTTTGGGCTGGTTTTTTTTGTTGTTAACTCTAGCATCTCAGATTCTGAAAGCATTATTTTTTTTTAACTGAATCATTTTGTTTATCTTGTGTTCTCTTGTTTTATAGACTTTTAAAGATCTTGATTGTATTTTTAAGCTTCGTTTTTAATATTGCTTTGGAAAAAATGCTACCTTTTAAAGGTAGTATTTTAATTTTACCACTGAGCCACATCCCCAGCCCTGTTTCACAATTTTTGTTTTTTAAATTTTAAGACAGGGTCTCAGTAAGTTGTTTAGGGTCTCGAAAATTTGCTTTTAAAGGTGTTTCAGATTTACATAAATTTTAAAGGAAGCACGGAGATTGTCACTCAACATCCCTTCTCCACCCCCACCCCTGCAGCTCCCCCTAATATTTATTTGTTTGTTTGTTACTCATCTATTTACTTATTGGTAAAGCACTTCTGGAATCTAACCCAGAAGTGGTTTACCATTGCGCCACATCCTCAGTCCTTTTTTATTTTTCATTTTGAGACACGTTCTTACTAAATTATAGAGGCCCTCGATTAATTGCTGAGGCTGGCCTCAGACTTCCCATCCTCAGGATTCTCTGGGATCAGGTGCCAGCGCCACCATTGCCAGGCAATTTCCCTTATTAACATCTTGCACTCATGTGGTACATTTGTTACAGTTAAAGAACCAATATCAATGAGTTATTGGTAATTAAAAGCCTTAGTTCATTCATATTTCAGATTTCCCTCGGTTTGGGCTGGGGATGTAGTAAAAGCATTAATTTTGGCAGCTGTAGGTTGCAATGCATTTCGTGACAGTGTTAGAGTTTATTGGTGATGAGTCCTTGCTTCCCCAATGCTGAAGTATAACACCAGAGAAGCAGCCCAGGAAAGTTTAAAGTGGAAAGTAGAAGCTTTATTAAAGGACAGCAGAAAAGACTTCTTCCCCCCCCCTTCCCTGCAGGAAGAAGGGGACCCAACAGGTGGAATCCATGGAAGGGCAAGATCTTCCCTCTTTTATATCTAAGGTCTTTTGTCAGCTTTCCCGCATTTCTGTCGGCATTCCGGTCCATTCCGGTCCATTCCGGTTCTGTTATCTTGTAGTGAGAGAATGTAGGTAGGAAGCCGCAAAAGGTGAGGCTAGAGGAGTAATCTGGGCAGGAAGGGCCTGGGGCCTGCTTTTGATTAGCACCTCCCAATTTCCTGGGAGCTGCTTCATTAACATTTCTTTAGAATGGGCTCTGGGCCTTGGGAACTGTTGAGAGCCACGGCCAGGTCAAGATAGTGCCTGGCATTTTGCCAGAAGGAGGGGTTCCTGCTGCCTCAGGTGCCCGCTCTGGCGGAGCTCCTAGAGAGTTCGCGTTGGTTGGTTGAGTTCTGGTGGAGCTCGGGAGTTCCTGGAGGGTCGCGTGGGTGACGTTTGCGTGACTTCGAAAATAAAGTTCATTCCTGCTTGAATCTACAAGTGGCTCGACCTCCCGGTTGTTTGTGCCCAGCCAGACTGCAGCAGGGAACATTAACATTTCAATTTCCCCAAGTGCTGCTCTGCTTTCGCGGGCTCCATTCTCAACATGGCCTTCATTTTCCATTTTACTCAATATTAGACCCGATTTACCTAACTACACTATCTTTAAATCTGGCTTCAACAGTGTTCTGTAGAATGTACCCCGCCTTACATTGCAGCCAGTTACGGTCTGCTGTCAACTGTGCAAGACGTCTTTCCTGGCTGGAAGCGTTTTGTAGGACTCCTAGTTTCAGTCCTAAAGCCATTTAACTCCAAACCTGTATCATCGCTCCATGAACTGCTCCCTTATTTTCTGCAGTCAGCAGTTGGGACAGGAAAGTTTTTAAATTTTTATTTATATATGAATAAGGCTTTTTTTTTTTAATTTTGTGTTTTATTTAAGAAAGTTCCTCCCATGTGCAGTGACGCACCCCTGTAATCCCAGCGGCTGGGGAGCCTGAGGCAGGTGGATCATGAGTTCAAAGCCAGAGCCAGCCTCAGTAATTTAGCAAGGTCTTATGTAACTTATGGAAACACTGTCTCAAAATAAAAAATAAAAAGGGCTGGGGATGTGCTTCAGTGGTTAAGTGCCTCAGGTTCAACCCTGATTTAAAAGATAAAAAAAATCTCTTCAACTTCCCTGTTGAGTATTGGACTGAAAAGGTTATTATGGGTTAAATTTTAGAAGTGGCTTTTGCAATTCCCTTTTTGATATTCTGTGTGAAAGGAAAGTGAGAAAGCGAGAGGCAGACCAGCGGGAAATAAAGATCGGAGACCAGGCAGAGATACACACAAAGGTTTTTTTGTCAAAGGTGACAAAGGCCATCTCTCTATAAAGTGGAGAAAGAAGCACGAAATAATATTTGGGTGTTCAGCTTTTGTGGGTAGGGGTTTGGAGTTGTAGCTGTGATGCTAGGGGATAGGCTTGGGGGGGGGGGCGGCTTGCATCAGAGATAGGCAGGTGGATAATAGCATGGGATTGGATTAGGCCCATCACACCAGGGGCTTCCAGAGTCAAGGGGTTGTGTCCTTCTGGGATTGGCCTAGGGTTATGGTACCATGGGGTAGGTCACTAATGGGGGTGGAGGGAGTTCCGGTAAGAGGAAGTACAGGAAAGCAAAACTTATCTCATAAGATGGTGGTTAACATTTAAAATGGCTGCTCAGATATTAAATCAAGACCCTATACTGTGTCTGCTAAATTTTGTGCACACCAAGTACTCTGAATCTAAAATATAAAATTTTTTTTAAAAAATGTTTTCAGTTGTAGTTGGACACAATACCTTTATTTTATTTATTTATTTTTATGTAGTGCTAAGGATCAAACCCAGCGCCTTGCAGGTGCTAGGCAAGCTCTACCACTGAGCCACAATCCCCAGCTCCTAAAATATAAATTTAAAACATACAAATGAAAGCAATTAAGGAAAATAAACTAGGTGGGTATTAGGTCGGTGGTGGCGACTTAGAACAAAGCAGCCCTCATGGGAAAGAAAAATCAATCAGGTGCCGGCGGAAACGCCTGTCAATCAGCAAGATCTCCTGACTAATGCCTGTCAATCAGAAGGACCCCCTGGCCAATCCTGGAGTTCACCCAACTCCCCTGACCAACTCCAAAGGGACAAGGGACCCTAAAAACACCTTTTCCTGTCCCAAGCCCTTCCCTTTCTGCTGTAAGTCCCATAAAAGTCCAGTCCAGTCGAGCTTCCACGCGGTTTCTCCTCACACCCTTCTCCTGTCCACTCTGTCGGTCTGAGTTCCTCCTGGGAGTGATATCTCAATAAAGTTTGGCGGCCCTTTTTAAATCTGCCTCCTTTGGTCGATGCCCGCCTCGCCTGATCTGACAGTGGGGGTGTAACTGAAATCTCAGTCCTTGTCCCCAGTGCCAATTAATGCCAATTTAATAATGAGGACACAGTTTTGAGAAAAAGGAAAAAGAAGTTTTATTGCTTTGCTAGCAAAGGAGAAACACTGGGGACTCCTAAGGATGTGATTCTGCCCATTACGGAAAACAGAGGGCTTTTAAGGAAGTTGTTTGAAGCTGGGGATATAGTTCAGTTGGTAGAGTGCTTGCCTTGCATCCACAAGGGTTTTATCCTCAGTACCACACACGCAAAGCCTATTAAGGACTACATTCCAGGTGTGCCCTCGGAAGGTCCCCTCTTAGAGCCTCTGGACAGATATCCACCTCCTGTGGTGGGTCCTTTCAAGGACAATTAAATAGGGGAAGAAGAAAGAAAAGAACAAGTCCTTTTAAAAATAAGCCTCAGAGCCAGGAGGGCTATATTCAAAAGGTAAAGTCATGGCTCAGTGATAGAGCCCTTGCCTAGCACAGGTGAGGCACTAGATTCCATCCCTAGCACCACATAAAACAATTAAGTAAACAAAGTAAAGGTATTGTATCCATCTACAACTAAAAAATATACATTAAAAAAAAAGGTAAAATGGATCACTGTTACAGGGGGTAGGGAAACAAATCTACAGGAATAAAATGAAGTTTCTTGTCTTTACCCGAATAACCAAAAAATGGTTGGGGCTGGGGTTGTGGCTCAGTGGTAGAGCACTTGCCTAGCACACATGAGGCACTGGGTTTGATCCTCAGCACCACATAAAAAAAATAAAGATATGTGTCCACCTAAAAATAAAAATTAAATGTTTAGAAAAGAAAAAGAAAATTGTTGGTCATGGATTTGCACCAAATTTGGGAAACACCAGACTTAAATTGTAGATTAAGCAAAACCTATGAAACACATTTTGTGGGATAGAGGGACTTTAAAGAGGTAGACATTTAACTGCCAAAGTGTCTGCAATTTAGGTGTGAGAGGTTTTTAAATCTGCAATGGAAATAGTCATGGCTCACACAATTGGGAAAAATAGGCATTCTTGAAATATTAAGAGCAAACACTCAGAATTTCAGACTTTTATTTTTTTAGTGAGTTACTTATGTGAAAAAATAAGTATGTAGCATACTCCAGTGCAAACAGCAATAAGAGCTTACATCAGAATG